GGGGGGGGGTCCCCCGCCCAGTCTAGGTGAAAGCCTTGCACCGACTCTTGCGAGGACGCGAGTTACAACTATAGAAGAGCCTCGAAACCTCGAGTCGAGTTTCGCTTTGCCTTTACGTGTTTCGTTTTCTTCGTACTTTTGTCATTAAAAAATATATATTGTTTTATTTATTGATGGAAACCACAGCACAAAATAAGAGAAAATATTTAATTTAATTAATAATAATGATATTAATCTCAAATAAAACGGTATCTTTGAGAAATGTACAAAATTGCGAGAAATATTTAGATAACTTTTATTCATCGCTTATCTTTATCTCAAAATTGAACAGTTGTATAATTTGTGGTCACCTTTTGCGATAAAGATTACAAAACGCGATCGTTTGCAGCCATTCATCTGGCTCATATCGGATATCCGGATACGTTGCTTTTATTCATAAGTGACTTGCCGTATTGACATTGCCATATTTTGAAATGCTCGATCATCTTCTCGTTTCCAATACACACTTACATAAAGATGTATTTTAAAAAGGCTCTTTATATGTATATACTGCACGCTGACTCGCCAATTGTTGTCCGATCATTGTATTAGGTTATTGAAACGTCAATGAATTAATCGCTCAAACTCGCTCGGACCGAGTCCTGTCGTTATCGCGAAATCTCGATATATGTCGCATATAACGATATTATTCGCATTTCGTACCTGTCGATAATCTCCCGTATTGTAAAAATTATTGATATCACAATTATTTATTCGTTCGCTCGCGTAGGTCGACGCGAATTTAGGTCAAATTTCCTCGTTGATAATAATTTAAACGTTTTAAAAATAAATAATGAGAGAGGAAAGAGAGACGGAAATTTTACGGTGAGAAATATCGAGCAACTGCGAATCTATGAATCCGAGAAAGAAAGAGGACGAATCCGAGAAAAAGAGATGGCAGTCCGCCTCAAGATGAAAGGCGGCGATTCCGTTACTATGCGTACGGTTTCCGAGGAAAATACACCGGCAGGGCCGCTGGAATCGACCGAGGTGCTACGCAGCTCGGGGCACAAAGGCGATTGTCGAGGCGAATTTTAAACTATCTAAGCCACGATTTTTGAGGGACGCGGGGGGATAGGGAGGGACACGCGACGCGCGGGGAAGCCCTCTCTTCGGCGCCCCCTTGGCCGATTCCCCCCGCTGATACAACGGCCAGAATTGGTTGGTTGCTGCCCATCTCAGGTTCGAAACTTCTTCGTCTCTGTGCTGCTTCTTCTCCTGCTGCATCCTTGCTCCTTCCTTCGAAATCCCTGCGGCATAAAAATAGAACGCGCGCGAGGATATCGTGACCGATTAGGAAGCGAACGGTATACAGGGTGTCCTTCACTAAGCACGACTATTTTAAAAATCTGCCGCTTTAGTGTTCGGATATATAAACGCATTAATGTTTTTAATGAAATTTACATTGAACTTTCCTTTGCACTTTTGTGTCACTCTTTCAGGATATATAGTTAACGAGATAAAATTTATTCAAGAACGCTTTTCATCGAGAAAATTTATTGCAGATCTTAGAAACGCTCTGTAAATTACAAAACTTTTTAGCATTGTGCAAATCATTTGCGTTGCAACGTTTTAACAATCTTACGATACTAATTTCGTAAACAGTTTGTAAACAAATCGGTTAATACTTATAAATACATATATGTTATCGACGTGTTTGTTACGCAGTCACATACATATGCATGCATTTTATGCGAATGTGTGAATATAGTGTTTCCAAATTTGATATAATCGATATAATAAATATTAATAATACTTGGTACGTACACACTTAAAATATTAAACACAAATATTAGATTGCTGCTATGTATCGTGAAATAGCGAAATCTGAGCAAGACTATTGCATTACGACTATTACATTCGAATATACATTTCGCCCACGTCTCGTCGTAAATTATAGATATCTCATTCTTTCGTAACGAAAGGAGTTTTGCGTATGGTTGCATTTTTAAAAGTCCTCGCGAAGGATGTGTGTCTCCTTTTCGATAAGAAAGCTGCGGTTAGCAGCCTGATCTTCAAGGTGAGGTATTCAAGAATCTTTCGTAGCGGTGCTCGTACATGAAAGAACAGTATGGAATAAAAGCTGACATTACTAATGACGCACGACGATGCATAATGTAGCCTCTTGCGGCGAATACTCTGCGGTTTTACGGGATAAACGGAGTGAATTTCGAGTTAGCCGTAACCAGTTTACTGATATAGAATGGAAATTTACAATGACCGCGTATGCAGAATACGCAGCTCTATCGAAAGTATGAAGATGCATCTTAAAAAAAGATATATTTATAACCTTATAACCTTTTCAATTCTACGCTCGTAAAAATGTATTTGAAAATAATTTTATAGAAATCTTATATTTCATTTATATTTTTGTATATAAGAGAGAGATTATATATAACTTTCTTCGAAATTCAGCAACTGAAAAGGAAAGAATAAAGTATTTATACAAAATTCACGACGATAAAAAAATTTTTTAATCTCTAACCATCGTATCGGACGTGCGCCAAATAGCCGCGACTATAACGAGATCCATTGTTACAGCATCGACGATCTGCTTTCTCCCGGTCGAACAGATCATCGGCTATTTAACCTCTCCCCGTTCGTTCCGAACTTTACTAACTCGGTTTTACTTCTATCAGTAAGCGACCGGTTCGTTTGTATCGTCGAGTAATCGTTACGCTTCATTGTACCTTAATAATCGCGTCATCGTACTTTGAAAATGTCATCGCATCTCGCTCGTAACGTCATCTTTCCGAAAACTCAATACAATTTATCTAATCTTTCGTACAATGGAATAACTTGGAAGTGAGAACTCGGAACTCGTTCTTTGCCAATGATTTTTAAAACATTCTTGTCCCGGGCCTTAGCAGTGATGGCTGATTTTCAATTTCCCCTCCGACAAGCTCTTTCCTGGAAGAATTAGACGAGTTATGTTTTATAAAGCTTCGCGCATCCGGCAATAAAAAAAAAAAAAAGCGCGAGCCGATACGTTTGCATAGACGATAAAAAAAGTCTTTGCCTGGTGGAAATTCGCTCGTCGTCTTAAGTTCTATTTACACTTATCCATTTCATATCCGTATCAGTGCACGTCCGTGCACTGATGCTAGATTCGATTCTATGTAATTAAATGACGGTACAGATACGGAATAGTATAAATACTTCCATTTAATCGTATGAAATCGAATCTAGTCCGTGCACGGTACGGATACGATACGGATAAGTGTAAATGGATTTTTTATTGTTAAAACGTTAGATCTTAGAAGTTGATTATTGGCTCGAAGCATCGAGTATCTCTGCACTTTGCACGCAGGTAACACCCAACGCATTTTTAATGTTAATGCAGCATTCTTTTATTGCCGCGCGTCGTACGTTGGTATCGGGATATTCCAATATAAACTTCAGCGCAGAATAGAAATTTAACTCGAGAAAGATATATACTGGACGTCGATATATGACGAGGAGAGTTTCAATGAGCTAAAATTTTTTGTTGAGAGAAAATCGAGTCGAAAAAATTCAAAGACTTTCTAGACGAAAGGCATACGATGTCGTCACGAGACACCCTGTATAGAAACAGAACGTCAAGTTGTGCACAGGAATCTACCGTGGTAGGCAGGCTCGCTAAGGCGGTTGTGTAGCGAGAATCCGTGAATCTACTTTCGAGCGAGCGGCTCGCTCGCTCGCTCGCGAGGAGAATTCTGCCTCGTTACGCACACGCACGCGACGTAATGTTCGTGCGGCTTTAACGGCGGCGGGCGTAAGGAGGGCAGTAACAGAAATGGGAACCTATAGCAGGCAGAGGAATGCTCTCCGAGTACCGTAAATACGTTGCAGCGCAATAAAAATAGAATGCGGGATACCCCACATCGATGATATGTCATATTGAGAGATATTTTAATCGCGAGACTCCAACCCTGCGCGCGCCTTACCGTATCGCAGCGTATTGCGCGTCTACGTTTCTCTTCGCTCCGTGCTTTATCATTGCCGATAATGATACCTGTTAATTTTCCGCTCGGGCGAAATTGCGGTTTGTATGTGATACCGCGCATACAAATTACCACGTTATATGCATAAATTATGTACGATCATCTTTGCAACATTTAGAAACTATTATCTTTCGCATTAATAATGACTCGGTTTTTTTTTATTACGACATTTTGATATAAACGTTTTTAGAAAATAACAATATAATTTTATTTTGTATGATAGAATTTACAATACAAATATATACGATATACTCGCGAACTACAGAATTTACAAATATTTCATATTTAAGAGATTGTTTACACATTCCAAATTTAATGCTTATCATATGTGACCATTGAAATATCCCCTGAACTACTAAATTGTCACAACACAGTCGCGTCTGGAATGGGGGGTCGCGCGACATGTTGATATCGGTTGGATCTTCCCGTGGACGCGCGAGAAAAAGGTATAGGGGAATGGAGGAGAGAGAGCAGAGGAGAGCACAGGAGGAGAAGGAGGAGGAGGAGGAGGCTGTTCGAAGGTAGAGAGGAGCAGAGAAAGAGAGAGAGGGACACAGTGGCGCGCGTGGACGGATGGTTCGAGGGGATATGGGGGTTCCCCGAGTCGAGTCGAACGCGCGAGCCCACGCGGGCGGCCTTGCACGTCGCCTTGCTTGTATTGATCAGCGGGCTTGACAGCCCCGTAGCGTTACGGCGGGCGCCTTCGGTATTCTATCTATCTCTCTCTCTCTCTCTCTCTCTCTCTCTCTCTCTCTCTCTCTTTCTCGTCGGAGCGGTCGGTGCGCGAATATTTTGTCTCGCCACCGTACCGTGGTGGCACACACACACACACACACATATATATTCACACATGTATATACATCGGTGTGTAACAGGCGCCACTACGCGGGCGATGTCCCTACCTTCCGACGATGTGCGATATGCTATGCTCGTCCTCTCCGCGGAAGGCGCGGAGCGTATCGACCGATCGTTACGCCTCCACGAGACTCGGCCGCCACGTACCACGCACTCTCGAGAAAGAGATGCTTTTCTCTCGTCACGATGAGACAACGAGTGGTAACCCGCGTAATCGTCCGAGTTTCTTGTCTTCTCGCGACGACGCGATCGCTTTACGTCGATGAACGCGATTACGTCGATTATTGATGCCGGCTATTGATAATTCGGCTTGTAAAAAAATCTGAATTGCGACACGAAAAAATAACTTTGATGCTACATTTTTTATACATTGCTGTCTCGTTGGAGAGATACGAAAAAAATAAAGCGAAAATCTTTTGACGAACCTACCCTAGCTCAGTCACTGACAAGCGCCATCGTCTCCAAAGGCGATGCCCTCGATTTTCGGAGGAAATTCCTATCGATCGGTCACCACGTTTCGACGAAACTTAACACGTCCGCTACTATAGCGAAAATATATGACCGGGTCAATGCAGAGAGCGCTGTGACGTTCTCTCTTTATTGCATCATAAAATAATCGACGAATACTATTTTATGAAGCTATTATTATATTTTTCTAAAAAAAAATTGCGAGAAGACTGCAAGAGATCTCTAATATAAACAAATTTAGATGGTCGTACTTTGATCGTAAAAGTAATCATTTTATAAAGAACCATCGCGTGAAGATACTTTTTATGCGTGTCTTATTTTATTCAAATCTCTGCACTCTTGCAATGTCAATTTTTTTCGATATTAACGCTCGCATTACGATCCCCGAAGATGCCAAGATTTTATTACCTGCCTGTGCGGTGGCTGTATACACATTTGAATCGTTCTGATTATGTCAGCTGGTTCTCTGACGTAAGAAAACGCCTGGCACCGATTGGACCGCCGGCGCGCGCCCACTCCGCGACTGTGCGCGCGTGCGCGCGTTCACGTCTCTTCAAAGTGGTCCGAGCCTTCGAGTGCATCGGCAATGGCGTCGCACAATATCCACCATCATTTTCCAGAATATACATATGAATGATTACCATAAGAGAGAGTAAAGAAATAATATTCTCGAAGATTCGCGCTATCGAAAAATTTACCGGCGCTTTAATTGACAAAATTATTATACATATGAGAAAGAGAGATAGAGAGAGCGACGTACATATTTATTACGCTACTCTCTCGCGAACACTCGTCGATAAGCGTGCGTGTTTATGAAATGTTCGTTGTCGCCTTTGTCATCAATCAGAGTTTACGCGTGCGCATCTCGGAACGAGGCGCGAAATGTGTCGCGCACGCGTGCATACGATCGACTCCTATGGACGCGCGTCGATGATTCGCCGTTGACCGCGCGACGAGACCTAATCTCGAGGGACAACGGTGGAAAGCGCGCGAATCAGGTACGATGAAGATACCAAATCGGGGTGAATGGACTCCCCCCCCCCCCCCCCCCCCCTTGTTAACGGGATAAAG